TTCGATGAAAAGTAAGTTTCTCTCTTACACCTGGGCCCCGGTCATCCTATTCTCTTCCCCAGAGGCAACCACTGTTACCACTTTTTCAAGTATCCTTCCGAAAAACTGTCTATACAATGAAAAACATACGTATCACGCACCAATGCCTTTCTCACTCGTCTCAGACAGCTCTCCACTTAGTACACGTACCTTATTCTTTTTAACAGCTTCATAAGATCCCATGATATGGATGTACCATAATTTCTTAACCATCGAGTGAACTTTTATTATCAGTGTGTCTAAAGCAGAGAGAGGACATCATCTACCCATGGGCAGATACTACCCATGGATGTGTTTTGTTTGGCCATCGTAATGGTTTTAACATGTGGCTCTCAGTGTCCTCGGCCATATGGGATGTGGTGGAACGAGCTGTCCACCAAAATGCACTCTCCTTTCTTAACATAAGCGGGGTGGCACTGGGAAGTGGCGGCCCTGCCAGGGACTTCCTTTCCCACTGCACGGCAGCTAGCTCTATCCAAGGGACTAAGTTGCCCCTGTTAGATTTGTGCGGACATGATGAAGATTCTTGGTCTGAATCTCTAAAGGGATGGCTACATCTCCCCCCCGTAATCTCTGCCCCTTCTGCCAGGTGGAGGCTCAGCGGCTGGACAGGGCTGTGTGTAGCACTGAGGCAGCTGACCGTCACTATGGAAACTTCGGGCTGCAAACCCACGGCTTTGGAGGAGGCAGGGCAGTGTCAAGAGTGGGAGGAGGGGAGTTCCCACCCCACACAGTGAAACAGAAGAAACCCTTTTACGAGGGGGGGGGAAAGCCTTATGAAAACAACTGTTTCAGTGAGGAAAAAGAGGTTAGGATCTAAAAATTATCGTCTTCACTGTCTGATTTTTCTTACAGGAATTTCAGTAATAAAACATGTTACGTGGCTGTAAGTATAGAGCTATAAAATTTAAACCTCACTGAGCAAGTCCCAGGCTTGACTGCCTCTAGATTTTGTATGCTTGCATCATCACTGCCTTAGACCTTCTTGCACATTTTTTTCTCTCCAACAGAGCAGCTACATGGGACTGTGAAAGGATGGCTCCACGGCCTGAATCAGCTATGACAAAGGTGAGCTCCCTTTTCCGCACAGCGATCCTATTATGTCAACGTCTCCCTATGAAAACACACGCTTTAGGTGTAATGCTAGCACCTACCTATCTCGAGCCCTGGGATAGTCTAGACTCCTGCACATCACATGTTCACACCCTCTTTGCAGATATCAAGGTTAAAGCCAACTATCCCACACTGCCAGAGTTGGCTTGGTTCATTTTTATAGATCCACAATCTAAAACAATCCTTCATTATTCTTCCCCATATTATGTTACCTATCACAAATTTGAAGGCATTAATGCCACCCACTTCTGAGCTATTCCTTCCTTCCCAAGAGTCATTTGAATGCTATCTGAATCCTATACCGAGTCTGTGGGCTCGCCCCCGCTTGGTCTCCTCAGGCTCTTATCCTATTTGCTTCTCCCTCTGTATAAACATCATCACCACTACATAACAACCATCTCACCTTTTCCTTCATTGCCCTCTTTCATTCTTGCTTCTCTGCATCTTCTCTCCATCCTACTTCTTCTCCACACTATCGCTCTACCTTAGGCTACGCTGACTCAGCAACTTAGCCTCATTCACTGTTTTTCACAATCCTGTGATTTCCATTTTTAAAAACATTAGCTTCACTTTATCTTTCCTTTTCAACTCAAGTTCATATCTTATTTCATTGCACATTATCTTTCCCTGTTTTCTTTACCCTTTCCTCGTTCTTCTGTTGTTATAAACAGGATGGCCTAGGTAGAGTCTGTCTTAAGTGATAAAGTTGGCTAAAAGATGGGGTACTGGGGGCTGGAAGAACATGGACCGCATGAAGGAGCAGGTTAGCTTAGCCTCCCCAAGGCCACCTTCACATTCCCAAGGGCTCGAGATAAGACAGGTCCAGACCCTCATAGGAAAAATGAGGAGGAGACAAGCGGTTTCTGTGGTTGGGCAAAGAGCAGGAGTGCCGGAAACTAAGTGTGCCTCCACTCGGGCAATTCACAAAAGAAGAAATATTAATGTCCAGTAACGACACAGGAAAAGATGTTCAGGCTCACTAGGAATCAAGGAAATGCAAACATTTGTCTATCAGATAGGTAACGATTAAAAAGATGAACATTACCCAGTGCTGGTGAAGGTGTGAGGAAACACTCTCAGGCGACGTAACCAGTGGGATAAGTTCATAAGGTACAAGTTTTTGACAGCACAGTTTGACAACCTGTATCTACCCTTCAAAGGTATATGGCCTCTGTCTCAGCATCTCCGACTTCAGCCCAAGAAAATAAGTAGACAAGGAAACAAAGATATAGATACGAAGTCATTAATAACCTCTACCTTGTTTAAGACATGAGAGCAGAGAGAGGTTGGTGGTGGAGGCTGGGAAAGAGAGGTCCATGCCTCCGTGGGGGCGGGCAGAGAGGAGAGAAGCAGAGAGGGAAGGGGAGGAGAGGGGAGCAGCATGTGAGCACGAGAGGACACTATGAGGAAGAGACAGGAGAAGATGGGGGAGACGGGGACACAGAAAGCCCCACAGGGCACAATCAACCACGTCACCCAGGCACGAAGAAATGACACAGCTCCATATTATGAAAGAGGGTTAATCAGGAAGCTCAGGATATAGGACAGCAAGCACAGTGTGACCCAGCTTAGCTAGAGTGACACATAAAGACAAGTGTGGCAGAGGGGTGACTTCATGGGCACCACGGTTCTCACTGACGGTGCTACGGTGACTGGCTTAGACTCTACCTCGCGCTTTCCTAGCTTGTCAGAGTTTTAATAAGTAATTTCTAGCAATATGCAATACACTAAAATTCTACATAGTTTAGACAGACCCTTGTACTTTCCTGTGAGAATTAACCCACAGGCAAACAAATTAAGTAGATGAAATGGTACCACCTGCTTTTCATGATGCAGACGTGCTCTGTTTCTCATGTGATCAATTTAAACTGCTTGTTAAAATTTCATTTGTGTAAACCTGTACTGGAAAGACAATGGAATTAAGCTATGAATACAGATGTCACCCACCTAGCTATTCTTTGGCATTTATCAAATGAAAATACTTTTCCCTTGAAGTCCTATCAACATCGGAGACGTCAAGAGAAGCCGTCTGAATTCAGGCTCTCCTGAAAGCAGCCCCTACCGCTGGGACTTGGGAGCAGGCATTTGATTTCGGTGTGAGGCGAGCACGACAGGGCAGGAGGGCAGCGGGCCCAGACAAGGTATGTTAATGAGGGGCTACTGCCACAGGTGGCCACGGCTCGGTACCTCTGCGAGCCTTCCCGGGGACTGTGAGGAACGAGGCACAGAACTGTCCCACCGGGGGTCAGGAAGTCAGAGGCTTTCCTCAGACCCCCCTCTCCCTGTCGGTCTTCCGTGGGAGTGAGTGCCTAGGAGCCAAACATGTCACTACTTGAATGACATCTATTACCTCATCAACACCCTGTAATTCTCTGGAGGGTTGGTCCTGTTTTCGAGACTAGGAATCTGAGAGGCAGAAAAGATTAAGCCACTTGCTGAAAATCAGATAGTTAATAAGCAGCTGAGCTGAACTCCAAATTCAGTCTTCTCTCTCCCACTCTAAGGGTGCTACGTGGTAAAGGCCACGGCCCGTCCATTCTCCAGCATAGCTGGCGCTCCTCGTGGGGAGAGAGACACAGCCTGAGAGAGGGGGGCATGTTGCCAGCCTCTCTCCTTGCAAGGAAAACGTATGGAGATGGTTGCCCAGATTGTTTTAATCTTCATGTGTCCACAGAAAAATCTTCTAGGTCAACATCCACCAGCCACGTGAAATTTTTATAGCATCACCATCCGTGGCTACTCCCACCCCAAATACCAGTTACATGAAATTATGCCAGAATTTGGATCAAAGAATGGGGGAAAATTCAAGACAAATTTTTATCTGATGAACTCATGGCAGAGAATCAAATTTCATAGAGAGTTCCTGATTCCGGTATATTAAAAAACAATCTATAAGTTTACTATGAGGAGAGTACTTTATTAGAACAAATAAAACATGCTGAGCTCTGCCGGGACACAGGGGTCATGCTCATGTGTGAGCCAAGGAGATTCTTTCCTTGCTTTAGTAAAAAAGATAATCATCTGCAAATCACTAGCATCTGAGGTTGGCTTGATTTAAAATGCACAGAGATACAGAAAAAGTTCCAGGAAATCATTGTATTTAGAGCTTGCCTGCATTAGTCAGTGGAAAGGCCCTTGCGCCTCCCAAAATAACACTTGGGACAGCAGCTGTACGCTAGCACCTTCACTCATGTGAAGGCATGGCTAGCACCTGCGGTTCCGCAGGCTCCCAGGAGGACAGCTCCTCTTCACAGGGAGCCAGGGGAGCAGACAGGCTGCCCCACACTCCCCGCCTCCAGCCCAGCTGTACAGCAGCTGCCTTGAGCAAGTCCCATCCCCAGAAGCTCCAGAGCAGCCCAACTGAAGGAGCCCTTGACCCAGATGCCCACACTAAACACCTAACCATCAGTCAGATTTAGAAAGCAGAGCCCCTTAAGCATTAAGCCTGGAGGACACAGGATCTTCACCAGAAGGATAAAATGCAGAAAATTCTGGCCAGGCATTGACCACCGAGACCTTTCACAGAAGAACGGCATAAGCGTCTGAGGAAATCACAGATGGCAATCCTGGACACAAATCACCACGATGCAGAGAACAAGACCCTGGCCACAAAGTGCACTGTCTGGGGAGGAAGCATTTTCATCCTCTGGGTACAGAATTTCATAATTCCTGGTCCGTAGCAAGTGTGGGCAAGACTCCAGACACATGTGATATCTATGTGCCAGCCACGTGAAGGCCGTCCGGGCCAGGTCTGCTCGTTCTCTGGACCCACAGAGGCCTCTGTAGTGACACCCATCCAATGACTCCAACAGGAAAGGAAAGGGCTGGGGCACAGAGGGGCACTTCACCTGGCACACTGGGCTGGAAGACTTTATTCAGATCCAAGGAGGAGGCTCTGGAATGGGTTTTCTGTGGCCGCGGTGGCGGGGTGGGAGGGTCCTCGCCCCTCTTCATGGCCTCTTCTATGGAGGTGCTAGAGTAGGATCTGCAGCAAAATAAGGGAAGGTCAGAAGGCAGACAGCAAAGCTTTACTCTCTGAAACTGGGCTGAAACAGAAAATACCCACAAAAGGCAAAGCGACTACCAAGGCTTGCTGAGTTTCCGGAGCAGCCAGGCACGGTGCTGCCCCCTGGATACCACACCAGCTGCAACAAGCGCCCAACCCCCAACCCTGAGTCACAACCTTTTTTAACCTCTTTGCTCTTATTATACCTTAGACCTGAACTTACCCCAGAGGGAATGCTTTCTGCAAATTCAAATCCATTTCGATTGGAATTGTTAATAACACGTAAACCCTTCCACTTAGGTACTTCCATACTTTAATAGAAGGGCTTCATGGTATTAACTGACCGCAGAACTCTTCTCCTGTTTACATGCAAACGTGATAACGGCACATATGGAACTGGGACAGATAAGCTGAGAGTAAGAATCAAATGTTCAACGGAATATGCCACAAATGAAATTCAGGAGAGGAAAACACACATCAGTCAGGTTGAGGGCCTTGGTTGTCTTACCATGAGAAATACAGGTTTGGGGAAATTTTCAAAGCAAAAGCCTCCTCTTAACCTTCTTTCTCAATCTGTAACAAGACAGGAGCTAACTAGGCAATTTCAGAGATTATAACTCCAATTCACGGCATTTAATGAAAAAGGAACTAAGTAAGTTGCTAAAGGTCACATAGCTAGAAGGTTACATAGGTTTCATTCAAATTCCAGTCTCAGTTTCTAAATTATATCTTTAAAATGTTCTGAGACTGCCTGCCTATGAGCCAGGGAAGAAAACTTGGGGCACAGCTAGACTATATGTTAGAGCCCTACTTATTTTCTAAATTAATTCAACTCAGTACATTACTCTATCGCTTAGGAATAAGTTTGCGGATGAATTCCCAATATGATTTTCTAAGAAGCTCATGTGTACATCTTATGTCTGTTCTATTCAGCTTCTGAGCTAACTTCCTGTCAAAGAAGAAAATGACCTTTGATCAGAGATGTGTCCTACAGATAAATTAAACTCAGAAAAGTGCCTTGGTATTTAGCTATTACATTGGCACTCAGGAAATTAGAATCTATCCATTACTATTAAGCAATTTCAGTTCTTGGTAAAGCTGGTTTTGACATAGCAAGTTCTTATTTTCCTGAATAACTTCCTCAAGGTTTCTTTGTGGTAGTCCAGAGGTTTTTTGTCATGCAAGGTTGCAATCTTTAATAAAGCCACCGTAATGGCATGTGACATGCTCTGGGGTGGTCCCTGTAACACAACTGGCAAGACAGGCAAAGCAAAGGCAGGCAGGAACTAGCAGGAAGGTGCTCTGATCCTTTCAACCAGAATAAAAGGGAATCCATAAAAAAGGACAACAAAGTTTTCAAATGGGAACTCTTGATTAAAAAAGGAAATTAGAGACCCCAGCTAGAAAGAACTTTCTATGTCAGATACAGCTCTAGTGACATTTTTCACTCAAGAAAGAGAAAATAATGTGTACATGTATAAATCATGTGTGTGTGTGTATATCTACACACATACATATAATTGAGAACACAATCTCATACTACATCTTATTCCATTTTACTTCCATATATAACCTGCGTATTTGTATTTTTATATGGAAAGTTAAATGAATATCCAATAAGTGATACAGTAAAACTATGACTGCAACCAATTAAAACATAAATGTGCTGGGAATCAACAAAATGATGAATGTAGCAGTGTTAGAAGGGTGATTTCCCTTTCCCTTACATTTCTACATGGCTTTATTATTCTAAAAAGGAGGATTAAAATAATTTAATTCTCACGGTCTCAGTAAGGACCCAGTTGGGTGCAGTGAAAATAAAAACATCCAAATTAGACCAAGAGACCAATCCCTAAAAGAATAGTATATAAAATTTAGCAGAGATATTAATAATAGAATATGTGACTGAGATTTTGTCATTTCACTCGCTTTGAGAGGAAGCCAGCAGAAGTAAAAACTGTGAGGTTCAATTTCTGCCATTCAGAGAAGGGTTTGCCTACTATGAAGGCAGATAAATGTTACTATTCCTACATCCTAAAGCCAGCATGGACTAACCTGTAAAAGATCCATTCATCCTTCAAAAACAGGATGAGCAAATGTGGTGGCCACTGAGAGAAACAGGAACTATAACTTCTTTTCCTACCAAAATGAATTAGTGTACCTATTATTTTAAAAAATATGAACACAGATATCTGTACCTTCTACAAGGGGTAACTCTTTGACTTACAAGGAGACGAGAGCTCCTTAAATTGGCAATACTGCAAGCATACAAAATACGATCAGATTTAAATTCACTTTCTCAGGAATACATCTAGCAGCCAAAGGAGGAAAAAAGTCACTAAGAGCCAAAGCAAAACTTGGAAAACACACACGTAGCATCCTGTCTCCCACTGCAGTCTACTGGTAAAGAGCAGTCTCAACACCATTTCCCCTCTTTGAGGTTCTAGTATTTCTATGAGAGTCTGTATTTCTCTTTGTTCCTCCCTTCTGATGTCAGATGTCAACCACAGCACTGCCTTACTGGCTCTCCCTCTTCTACTAACCTCTACTGACTTAAAAACTGTGAAGTTGAAAAGAGGCTCTAAGAGGATGAAACAGTCCACAAACACTGCTTACGTGAAGTTTCGAGCTGCACTGAAATTGCCGAAGCATTTTAGTTCCTTACTCTAGATTTTATCCCCCAGACTTCCTATTTTTTGGTGTTCACCTTGTCATGACAGGACATTTCAGTGTTAGTTACCTTTTAATGGTATTTCCCACTTTCCAAAGCTACTTTCCCCCTATTCGTTATCATCCTGCAGCAACAGGGTCACATCACATTGCCCCTTCTTTGTGTCAGGTGGCTGGAGAGCAGCAGCCCCTCTCCCAGCACCAACAAACCCAGAAACTAAGCGCCTCCCCAGCAGCACTGCGGGCTCCAGTCAGGCCCCTCATGACGAGTGAACTCACCCTCATCCTAAGCTTCAAATTGAAGGCAAAAGATTTGGGGTTGGGAGGTTTGTTTCTAGTCAGGGACATGGCACAAAGGGCATTCAAGCAGAAGTTAAACAAACACTACCTGGATCTTGGTCTTGCTTTGAGACTGTTGGAATCCTTAGGAGTGGCTGAAACAAAGATTAGTTGTTGTTTGCTTGGGTTTCATGTCTGCAGTTAAACAGGTTTTAAGCAGCACCTGGGCTAGTACAGAACACATCAACAGGTAAACATGAGGTACAGGTATCTGTGTGGAAAACTTGACCGCTTCCACATTTTTGCAATTCCATAATTTTATTTCTAAAGCTAAAGGCACAATTAAAAAGAAAGAAAAACCAACGTATTTTTCCTTTCATCAGAGCATTTAGCCATGAAGCCATTCTCAAATCGAAGTTGATTAATGAACCAATTCCAGCCTAAAAGACAACTCTCTCAAGAGGTTATCTATTTATACAATGATGGGTTCAGACTTGAGGGTTTCTTGGTCTATCATGATAGCCTAGTAATAACAGATTTTGAACCAGTCTCCCCTGAAGGCTAGGAAGAAATCTATTGGGCTACATATTTTAAGATTTTCTTAAAATACACCACCAGGACCACATGACCACAAGAAATCAAAGTCCCACAGTTAAGTCTAAATGATCTACGCAGCTTTTCCTATAAGAAAATATTCTTGTGTCCCAAATCGCAGAGAGAATATTATGAAGTGAAATCATTAAAATATTTTGTCAACCATACAACTTTTCCTTCTCCAATTTAAATCATGAACTAGCTTGCTCACTACCAACACATATGGAGCCTACTTTCCCATCATAAGCTGTTGGGAGTAATGAGAAATACTTACAAAAACATTAATCCTCTTTTTACGTTTTCAATCCTCTGTGGAAGACAACTTTAGAAACCACTAGCTGTGCTAAGGTTTTGCAAACGTTGCAAATTTTTCATCATAAAAATGTCATAAAAATTCAAAGAAAAAGTGCTACTAACTAGGAGCAAGGAGAATATAGTTTGTATACTGCTTGCACAAATTTTTCCGGAATGAAAATGTCTCACTGCATGATGCCATCCTCTTTAACATTACTCCAAAGATAAAACCCCTCCTTGGTATGAAGCATGCTGGATTTCTGACCATCATTAAACTCCTTGGGTTGGATAAGCAGGGCAGAATGTGGAGCTGAGATGCTAACAAGGCCCAAAGCAAACTAACAGCACACGTCCCCTTAGCTTCAGTTAGCTATAGAAGACGTGCTTTTCTCCCAACTGAAGCGCTCTGGCTTCTTGGAGTGAGGACACGGGCACCTTTTAACTGCAAACCACTGAAATGCTGCCGGAGCCCCGAGAAGCACGGGAGGCCCAAGCAGTGTGAGCCTGCCTTGGCCAGTCTCGTGCGCCCGCACGAAGATGGACAACCACCTCCCCTGCTCCAGCCCCCTGGCGGCAAAAGATGGCGGCCCAAGAGAGCCAGCCTCTCCTCCAGCCCAGCAGGCTACCTGGGGGCTGGGCGGACGGTGCGAGGACCACTCACCACGGGGCTGAGGGCCACCCTCCAAGCAGGCCGCCCATGGCTGGCTCCAGCCCGCTTCTCTCAGGCCCCACTGCTTCCCAGAAATATGTGGGCAGAAGTCTCAGCCATTTTAAAACACTGTTCCCCAAACCAGACCGCGGTGACCGTTACTTCCTTTGTCCAGGGCCACTATCTTTGTCTTTGTGTCGGGGGAGGGATGGGTGTGGAAGGAGCGGGGAACTCTGCTGGTGAGAGATAGACAGGCAGGCAGATGGCGTGATGGGTGTGGCTGAGCCGTGGACACCAGGCTAGGAGTCCTGAGGTCCAGGGGCTACTCCTGGCCACGACCCTCTCTAGCTGTGACCTCTGTGAACCTCAGTCTCCTCACCTACAGAATGAAGATAATAAAAATGAGGCCCCTTTCTCACTCAGAGAGATAAGAAAGTGAAGGCACTTTAAAAATTTAAATGTATTCTAGAATTGCAACATATTACTGCTGTAGGGTGTTCCTAATTTTTCATGCTTAGAAATCTGGTTTTGAAATTCAGTTCCTTCTAGGACAGCACGGGAGGTGTAGGTGGGTGCAGGGAATGGAAGGAGACACCAAGGGGTGGCTGCCAGCAACTGGGCAGCTGTGAGAATCACCAACAGCAGGCAGAAGACTACAGCATGAGGGCGAGCAGGCCCGACGCCCTCGGCAGGACCTGGAGACACACAGAAAAAGATGGCCACGGTGCAGTATAGCCTTTTGAATTAGGCTAGAATGTGCCGTTAGCTAAGAAATCCATCAGATTCCACTAATATGTACATGTTCAGTACTTAAAAGGGTAAGGGTCTATGAGAAAAATATGTAACAAGGAATACCGCGTTCCCTGATGACAGAGTCCCATATCCCATCTGTAAGCCACCACATTTTCTTCACCACCATTACTATTATCATGGTTATCACCACCCACTGTGGAAGGAAGAGCAAAAGAGGGAAATGAGATCCCAGGCAGGGCTGGTAAGCTTCCACAGGTTCGAGATCAGAAAAAGCTGGAGAACACGATTTTAGTTAAGTCTTCCATCAGCCTCCAAGCCCCTGAAAGTCAGACTCAGCATTTGGAGCATGTGAATATCCACAAAAATGACAAGGGCAGGTTGGATCAGAATCCAGGCAGAAGTCCACAGGCAGATCACAGCTTCTCACTGAGCTGGGCAGAGGGAAGAAGAATGAGAACTTCCTGGAACACTCCAGGCATGTCATCTTTCCAGGAAACAGAAACAGGATAGGAGGGCAAGCCTAAAGTTTAATTCTCCAGGAGGCGGCAACTCAACTGAGGTGAACCGCCCACATGGCACGGACAGCCTTCCAGAATTAGAAACCACCACCTTGAAACTCTTGTGTCTCCTGCTAGGAATCCAAACATTCCCCGGAAAAGAGGGTATTAAATACGTTTTCAGCTGAGGGATTCCCTCATATCCACTCCAGAAAGGGCAGCAAAGGAAAGAACAAATCAGAAACCACATAGCATGCTCCCAGACAGAATGTGAAACAAATTCAGATATACTTCACGTACTGTGGCACACACACCCTGATAGGTTCTGTCTGGTGATGCCATGCCCCATTCAATGAAGGAATGTTGAAAATGACATCTAAAGCTCATGCCCCAGAGAACACGTAATGCTCGTGGAAAAAATAGAAAGAGTTATTAGCCTAAAAGGCTGCTGGAGAAGCACAATTTAACTCTCCAAATTTAAATAACTTTTACTGATACCATAACATGAAGTTTACAAAAACTAGGATGTATCCACTTCATTTCCAGAAATTAGAGTCGGAAAGTACCTACCTCAGGCAACTGTCCTACACAAATAGAGCATTTCCGCCTATGATGAAGGAACCTGAATCAGTTCCAAAAGCCAAAACTAGGCTTGAGAATTCCTACCACTTTTGGAGTCATAGTTGATCTACGATCTTAATTTTCTATTTCTTAACGTCGCTTTCTAGAGGTAGTGGTTCCCAAAATAGGCTGAACATTAGAACCCCCTGGGAGGGAGGGGCTGCCTAAAAATACAGATTCTTAGGCCTCATCACTGCAATCAATCATATATTCTCGTTCATATTCATTCTCCCTCCCTCCGTCCCTCTCTCTCCCTCTATCCCTCTCTCTTTTAAACCTTAAATGAACTTAGTATCTGGGAAATACTGTACTGTAGCATAAGCCTCGATGTATATTGATTCCTTTGTTCCAACTTTAAAAAAATAAAGCCTGGATGATAGCTAGTTAACCAAAACAAACATGATTTACTTATGAAATATTAAGAGAAATAACAATAAAAGAGAAAGCAGCAAGTTCTTTCATGAGCTCATAACCAGAGCTCCAAACAGTAATGCCATCCCTAGCCAGTTTGTTCTCAGCTAGGTTCATCTTGGTTCAGTGATGGCTCTGTCGAGAAAGCTGAGGCCACAGGCCCGACCATCTCCATGGTTCCCAGACACAGTTCTGACTCTCCAAGAACCTGGGCAAATACGACTTTTATTTCTCTCCTTGGAATCCACTCCATGTGTAAGCACATTTACCTGCCTTCTTGGTGGTGAAGCATAATGAAAGCGTTTGAGATTTATGCTTTGGAAATGGAAAGTTTCACCTGTGAGCCTCCCATTAATCCACCCCATCAGCTTACTCTACGCAGAAATCACAATGGCTTGTTGAAATCTTCCCAAATCCAAGCCTTCTCAATTTTATACTTAGTGACAATGAGACCCTCGATTCAAACTGAGAAATCCTTTCAGTGAAACCTATATTCAGAAATTAAAAAGAAATCACCCTCTTCTCATACCTGAGAAGAGGGGAGGAGTAAAAAAGAAACCAAAAGGTTTCCTTAGAATAAAACACAAGACAAATATTTGGACAGAAATATATATATATATATATATATATATATATATATATATATATATATATATATACTATCACAGATGTACCAGTTTTCTCACTGAAACTACAGGGTTGTTTTGGTTTGTTTGTTTGTTTAAGAAATTATTACATTAAAAATATATTAAATTGGTTTTCTCCTACCTGAATCCTCGGACATATCCTTTGGTAAGGCTTCATCCGTAGCACTCTTCAAAGCTAGCAGTGTTTCATTTTGTTTTTAAAGAACAAGAGAGGGAAAAGTAAAGAAAAAAAAAATTTATGTCTCAGACACATTACATTAAAACAAAGAAACCCTAGTCATCACTTATGAAAACGGTGTTACAAACATCTATAAGTTGCTGTAGCACTTACTAAAACAATAAAAGTCTCCTAAACTATGGTAACAGGTTCTCCTCCTACAGAGAACAGAGGTATTTTCAATGTTCCAGAGAGAGTGCCTCTAGTGGCTGGGAGGAGTATTACCAGGAAGTATCAAATTTCCCCGTTTCTTTCCTGACATCCAGAGCAAAGACATAAGGATCTCTCTGAGAGTGAGAGCCAGGATTCAGGATTTTTAGAGCTCACGAGGTTATTCCAATGGGTAGTCAAGGCTAAGACCCACTAGTAAAGACGGTAATCAGAGTACTTGCTGCCACAGACAACATCTAGGTCTGCCTGCCTCTCCTGAGCAAATACTGACAAAGAGAGCATGCAATTACTGTTTCCTAATGGGAAACATTTTTCATGTTTAACTCCCATACAAAGCTACATCCATGGCAGGTCATGATAACAAAACCTGAAATAGCTTCACTGATTTTTAGTCCCTTCAGATAAGCCTTTCATTTATGGGCAGTGAATCAATATCAGATAATAGAAGGAATACGGGCTTGAGAATTCGAAAATCTTGGTTCTTATCCCTGCTCTTTTTCTTACTGAGCAAATAATTCATACTGCCTGAACTTTAGTTTACTCATCTCTATATTTTATGTGATAAAACATACCAGCCTCCATTCCATTTTGTGAGGACTGAATAATACAGTGCATGAGGAAGGACCTGATAGATTATAAAGCATTATATAGAAGTATGGCAGGAGGTGGGGTGTTCCTCCTGCTCTTCTAGATAAGTCCCAGGCCAACTCATCCCTGTGCTTGATGCTAGCTGTAACACAGAACACCGTGCTGCACTGCTCTCACCCGTCTAGTAAGATAAGCAAATCATCACAACCCAACACCCACAAAGTCACAGAAAATAAAGCCCAGGGATAGAAACTCTCTCCAGAAGGTAACTTCCTCGAGGATTAGACCTGTGTACAAATGTGCATGTATAATGACATTCTGGGATCACATCTGCCAACACAAGATGTTATGCTCACAAACCGTTCAGCTTCTAGTCATTTCCTAATTAGTACGACCAGATTCCAATAAAAGGTGTTGGAGTAGGCTGAGGGTCAGCAGTGAGCACAGGGTCATAACTGAAGGGCTTTGGACACTCAAGGTCTTGTTACCACTTTATGAACTATAGTTTCGTCACAGCAACTGGAACTACTTAATCCATCCAAATGTTTTCATATACAGAGAACAGTCCTCAGATGCTCTAGAAGCCAGCCACTCCAAGAGAAGTAGATTAAAAATATATATAGGTAAAATGTCCCTAAAGGAAGAAAACTCATTCTTTCCATACCTTGTTTGTCATCACCAGTCACATCTTGGGTAGGGACAGGAAAGTCAGCCATGTCTTTAATAGATAGCTTCTTGGAAAAGAAAAGTAAATTAATAATATGGGTTGGAGTGGAAATGAAGTGATGTGCACATCTGATGCAAATGTTTTTAAAAGTTATGTATCTTGCCAATATTTCTGTCTCCCATAAACCCTGACATTTAATACTATTTTATTTTTTAGATTTCTAGTGGGGTATAAGTTAATTTGTATTGAAAAATTTATATACACAGAGGGAAAAAATAATGACTTAGATTGAAGTACATGTATAGACCACACATTATATCTCAATCTGGTGTGGGACTCAGCCAGAGTTGTGGAGCATTTGCCCACGACTCCAGTCAAGAACAAACCTGTGCTCTAGGTACTTTCTCACAAGCAGAGAGAGGTTCTGACAAGTGGCCCCATCACATGGGTATTTGCCAGGATCTCTTATGTAGCGGGTGTTCAACCCTGATTCAAACAGCCTCCTTGTCATGGAATAAGAGAATTTTACTGATGAGCAGAACAAAATTTTCTGCTAACTCACTGAAGGAAGAAGTCCTCACACTAAGAAGATGAATACCCAAATTGATCAAGTACTGATTAGTTTAAAATTCTATGTAAAATCTACTTACTATAATTTCTTCTACACTCTCAATTAACATGGACTCTGTCCTCTGATAAGATTAAAGGACAATACATATTCATAGTTGATATATATATGTAAACACATTCTAGAAAGATATATAAAAATTGAAGGGTGATTGGTAGGTGGGGATAGGGATAAGAGAACTTGCCACTATATGCCTTTTGATATTCTTTTTATTTTAAACATGTTAAAAAAATCAAATAAAGATAAATTTTAAAACTTAAAGAAGTAGGGTAAATTCCTGGAGTTAGCCGGTGCTCCAAAAGGTTAACTGGTTTACCTCTCAGAATCTGAACAGCCCAAGAGACATAAGCAATACTTCTGTTTTCAAACTGTTTCAAAGAATGGAGTTAGAATACTGCTTGGTGGTAACCTGATCTAGGGTTTAGCCATCCACAGGCAAGTCATTCTTGGCATTACAATGAAGCCTCCAGATGTAATTTAGAACAGAGAATGTATCTCAACAGCGCCCTTCTTTCATTTTCTTGTCCCACGTGGATTGTAATCCAGATCCTTAGCAGAATAAAATAATTTAGGAGTAGAAAATATGGATAAAAAGAAATCCAAAAGAACACTGTTGAAAGAATTTTTTTTAATCTAAATAAAAGGAAAGACACCCCGTGTTCATGGGTCAGAAGACTTAATATTGTTAAGATGGTAATATTCCCTAAATCCATCTACAGATTTGAAGCAATCCTTCTTGCTTTTTTGCAGAATTTGACCAGCTGGTCGTAAATTTCACATAAAAATGTAAGGGACCCAGAATAGCAAAAATATTCTTGAAAAAGAAGAACAACTTACCAGAAAGTTATAGTAATCAAGACACTGTAGTACTCACATAATGACAGACATATAGCTCAATGGAATAGAATTGAGAATCCATAAATAAACCCTTAAATTTGTGGTCAACTGATTTACAGTAAGCGTACAAAACAATTCAGTGGGAGAAAATTGTCTATTCAATAAATGATGCTGGGACAACTCGATATCCATATAAAAATAAAGAATGAAGTTGGTCCTCTTCTTCACAGCATATATAAAAATTCACTCAAAATGGACCACAGATCTAAATGTAAGACCTAAAACTATAAAACCCTTAGAAGAAAACATAGGAATAAACCTTCATGATCTTGTATTAGGCAATGGTTTCTTAGATATGACACCAAAAGCACAAGCAAAAAAAGAAAAAAATTAGATAAATTGAACTTCATCAAAATACAAAATATTTGTGTTACAAAGGATACTATCAAGAAAGGGAGAGAAAAACAAAGAAAAATACTTTCAAATTATACATTTAATGAGAGATTTATATCCAGAATATATAAAGAACACTTACAACTCAATAAAGAACCCAGTTTATAAATGGACAAGGGGTAGGAATAGATATTTCACCAAAGAAGACATACAAATGGCTAATTAGCACACAAAAAGATGCTCAATATCAGTAGTCATTAGGAAATTCAAATCAAAACCACGAGATACCACTTTACACCCACTAGGATGGCTAAAATCAAAAAGACAGATAATAACCAATGTTAACAAGGATATGGGGAAACTGGAACCCTCATACACTGCTGGTGGAGGAATGTAAAATGGTGCAGCTGCTCTGGAAAGTAGTTTGTGAATTCCTCAAAAAGTTAAACACAAGGTACAATATGATCCAATTATTCTACTCCTCAATATATACTCAAGAGAATTGAAAACATGTGTGCACACAAAAACTTGTACATGGACATTCACAGCAGCATTTTTTCTAACAGCCCAAAAGGGGAAACAACCCAAATGTCCATCAGCTGAAGAATGGACCAGCAAAAATTGTGTTAGTATCCATACAATGGAATACTATTCAGCAATAAAAAGGAATGAAGCGCTGATACATGCTACAATGTGAATGAACTTTAAAACATTACACAAAGTGATCTCATCACAAGAAAAAATTTTTTTTCCTAATTCTTTAATAGCGTATTTATGTGAGATGATGGATGTTCACTAAACTTAACAAAGTAATCATTTCAAGATGGATGTAAGCCAAATCATTTTGCTGTATGTACACCTTAAACTTATCCAGTGCTATATGTCAACTCTATCTCAATAAAACTGGAAGATCAAAAGCAAACATTATACTAAGTGAAAGAAGCCTGTCACAAAAGACCACATATTTTACGTTTCTATTTATATGAAATGTCCAGAATAGGCAAATTCAGAGACAGAAAATAGCTTAATGATTACTAGAGGCTGGGGGAAGCGGGGAACAGTAGATGACTGCTAATGGGTACAGGCTTTCATTTTGGAGTGATGAAGATGTTCTAAAATTCGACTATAGTGATGGTTGCACAACTGTCAATATAAAAAAATCCACTGTATACTTTATACAACAACTGTCAATATAAAAAAATCCACTGTATACTTTATACAAATTGTATACTTTAGATGAATATAGTATATGAATTATATCTCAATAAGCCTGTTTACAAAAGAAAGAAATCCAGTAATCTAAGAAGCACTGCTAAAGACAAGTGTCCCTGAAATTATAATCTTTAATTCTTGATGGAAATAAGTACATGGTACAGCTCTGCTGTCTTTAGAAAAAGATGTACTGCTGAGCAAACTTCTCCAGACCTGACTCAGCTACAGCTGCATTCACGACAAACACCTTTATGGAGTCATCCTTCACAGGGCTGGTACCAAGATCTATCTAAACTCCAAGCATGGGGAATTCCCTGGCAGTCCAGTGGTTAGGACTACATGCTTTCACTGCTGAGGGCCCAGGTTCAATCGCTGGTTGGGGAACTAAGATCCCACAAGCCACGTGGCATGGCCAAAAATAATAATAATAAAATAAAATAAACTCCAAGCATGCATTCCTGTGTTTAAAATATCTCCATTTCCAGGCTTCACAGACACCTGGATATTTGCTCCTTTCCTTTTAGAGATGATAAGTGAGTACATGAAGAACAGCAACATGAGTCAGTAATTAATTTCTCCAAAAAAAAACAGCATTATTTATCTCTGTTGGAAAAGCAAAGACCATCTGATAGCATGGCAAGTTGGAACAAAATGTTTAACTAGAAAAAATGTGAATTATGACGTTTTTAGTAAATCACCTAACAACAACATAATTTTACACAAGCAGGGGTACCCATAGCAAAAAAAAATTTTTTAATAAAACAAAAAACAAAACAAAACAAACAAACAAAAAATAAAACAGGGCAACTGCATAAGACAGTTGTAGAGATGTCTGTCCTGGCCTGAGAGACAAACTTCTCCATATACTGTCAGCAACCCCAGAGTACACTGAGGGCTGGGAAAAGTGACTGACAATCATACTTGCTTCACCATCATACACATTCTACAGAAAAAGAAATTGAAAAAGCCAAAACTCTTAGAATGCACATCTATCACTCCACCTGAAATCACTTTATCTCCTTCCCAAGAGTAGAAATCTGCTGAGGAAAGGAACACGGAGGCTACGACTCAAAGAAAGAGCAGTAGAGAGCCCAAGAGAGATGTTATCAGAGGGGGCGCAGCAGAAGCAGGCTTGATTCGCTCAGAGAAGAGCAGAGGATGGCATCCACAACGTGCACTACAGGCACGAGAGCCTTGTGGGAAAGAATAAATAATCACACACAATCACAAGAAATTTTTTAAATGGCCCTGTATCCTGCCTTTGACTTCTATCATCTTGCAACGTCGGAGCACTGTAATAGGAGCCTATGAACAAACCTCCATTTATGAAACATTTCCAGACTTTTTTCAGGGTGGGAACAGCAGATATCATAAGTTGTCATCACAGCAATCATAATGGTGGTGATGGTGACGAAAGTGCTGATATTAACAATAACCATAAGGACCCCTAAAGCACACAGTTAAGCCCCTGCATCAGTGGCCCAACGTTATAGGAATTCTTCGGGTTTCTCCTGAGGATCATCCAAATCAGGCAGCTTTCAATGTGATCTGGGGTCCTCATATACAGTTCTCAAACCTCCTCTCAAAACTGTTCTGATTCATCACACCTTGTTAATAATCAGCTGCTAAAAATACAACTTTACAATGTTTACTTCAAAATTAAAGCTCGGGTTAAAGTAAATAACCTGGCTTACATTTTCCTGGCTTAGTTTGGCTATACCTAAATTTCACCTCTAAAAGGTCAAGAGGCTACTTTGCTTTTTTCACCAAATCTAGTTTTAGGGAAAAGAGAAAAAAAAAATTATAGATGTATCTGGTGTCTAGATTTGAAATGCTGAGCTCTAAAGTAAGTACTAAGTATTAAGAGAAATCGTTATGAAAGCAAATTTTCCAGGGTTTGTAAAGAACAATCAGCTAATGGATTTAATAGTACACACATCCTTACTTATTAACATATGAAGATCTTTTACCTCCATCCGATTCAAGTCACGGGGTTGTTGGTTTGCTGGCACTGACTCAGAATAAGAATCAAATAACGCACACTCCCACTTGGGCTTAGGAAAGGCTAAGAAGAAACAAAAAGAATGCATAAGAATATATACTATAGTCATGGTGGTCATTGTTTCCTAGCAGCTTTTCTGTGCTTGGTAAACAGAGCAACAAAATCAGCCAGCTCCTATATAGGAGAGATGGCACTAATCACGCTGAGGTAGTATTTCAAGTTCTTTAGTATACAAGCTAGTACTTCTGCCATGCCCACTTTACACGCAATAAAACTAAGGAGCAGCGAAGGTAAGCACCTTAGTCAAGGTGAGAGAGCCAGTAAATGAAGAGCAGGGACTTGAACTGCCAGCACTCCTGCTGGAAGGTCCATGCTGTCAGCATTTCATGTTGTAACACAGAAGTAATTTTCCACCTTAAGCATCACTATCACAATACTTCAGTTTCAACTAAGCTACTAGCAGCATTTTAAAATGGCAGTAACTATGGTGATAGTTTGAATACCATAAACATTAACTGAGGAAATACTTCATTTTAGCTTTTACTACTGGAAATAAATAGACAAGATCTTACAATGATATGTGCCGAAGAAAGCTTTATGAAGTACTCATTTCTTTTGGTTAGCAGGAATAACAAAAATAAGAACACAAGTTCTTCTTGATTTATAACAATGAAATAATCACATTATGGGTTTCTTCCAACATAGTATAGTGACAGCAGCTGTTAGCTGGGTAGCTGAGTGGATCAGCATAAGAAAAACCATCCTACCTGGTAAGCTAACACTGAACACTCACACTATTTCTTAGAAACAGATTCTGTTTCACCACTTTTGTCACAAAGTAAGTAAAAAAAAAATGTCTCAACAACTAGGAAAATTGTCATTATTCCAAAGAGGAAAAGCAAACTGGGGTAGACAGTAAACAGAAGCTACAAATCAAATTTGTCAAGACCAGCTATTAAGAAGTCAAAACTTTAATGCCATGTTTAAAAACTTTTTTTGAGTCAAATGTTAAAAATAGATTGGCAGGGACTTCCCTGGTGGCACAGTGGTTAAGAATCACCTGCCAACACAGGGGACATGGGTTCGAGCCCTGGTCCAGGAAGATCCCACATGCCGCAGAGCAAATAAGCCCTTGCGCCACAACTACTGAGCCTCGTGCTAGAGCCTGCGAGCCACAACTACTGAGCCCGCGAGCCATAACTACTGAAGCCCGCGTGCCTAGAGTCCGTGCTCCGCAACAAGAGAAGTCACTGCAACGAGAAGCCTGTTCGCCGCAACTAGAGAAAGCCTGCTCGCAGCAACAGAGACCCAACACAGCCAAAAATAAAACAAATAAATTTATTTTTAAAAATTAAAAAGCACAGAGAAGACCCAAAGAGTTCTGGCCATTTTCTTGAACCAAATACAAAAATCAACAAGGTTGATAAACCATTTAAAAGTTAACTACTAAACCCTTAGGGGTTTTATGAGGTCTCTCATGGTTTTTGTTAGAACTATTTAATTATTATTTAAGATTAATCCCACAAACTCTGGAAATGATGTGCAATTTTTGTTTAATTGAAGGGTATATGATGGATTCTTCTTCAGTTCTTTCTATATAAATGCATGCTCCATAAAAGGCCATTAAGAAATGGGGGGTGGGCTTCCCTGGTGGCGCAGTGGGAGAGTCTGCTTTGGCCAGACATATCCTTGAAAACACTGTATGTCAGGCTTATCAGTGCACAAGTGATGGTATACCACCTTCTTTACCTTCTTTCCTTTCCTCTTATGTTCAAGTACATCAACTATAGCCTTAGCATCCAGAACTTGATCTCGCAACAAAGAGTAGCCCCCGCTCGCCACAACTAGAGAAAGCCCACGCGCAGCAACGAAGACCCAACACAACCATAAATAAATTAATTAAACCAAAAAAAAAAAAAAAAAGAAATGGGGGGTGGACTTCATTCAAAATAAAGGGAGATGCTCTTGACTGAGGCTCTATTTTTTAGACTCCCCTGTACTGCGTAAGCAAGGTAAAAGCAGCCATTTGCAGCAGTAAAGGAATCAAGAGGCTATTTCTCTTTTGTTAATACACTTTTTGCTCAGGGCTTTCAGACCTTTAAAAATTTCATCAGTGACTTTTGAAACACTCCGTGAAACACCTGAACACCTACAAAGTGACTCCTCAAATAAGAAGTCATGACACCCAGCCTAGGTTCCATAGCCACACCACATAAGAACAAGGAAACAGCATTCCTCAAGACCCCAAACAGGAAAGAGAGGGAGGAGAGGGAGCGAGGCAGAGACAGGGACACAGAGAGAGACACTAAAGAGGAAACAGAGCAGTGTGTCATGCTGCCCAACTGCAAACTAGTTCCTGGGGACCCCTGAGGGTCTCCCCCAGCCTGTAAGGAAGGGGAACACGCTGGAGTTACAGACCGCTGGAGTCAGGAAGCAGCTGCTATTAGCAAAGTCCAAGCTCTGAAACAAGTAATAGCTTTTGCTCTCTGAACCCTCCCCTTTGTACATTTTCTGAGGGCCTCTGGGCAAGATCCCAGAATGGGTCATGCTTCCCCCAACATGTTCACCAGTCCCTGGCACCAGCCACATACTTAGTCTCTTCCTTTTGGTTGAGCCTCCACCCCGTCACTACCTAACACAGAATGACAGACTTTTTATTTAAGAGTCAGAGACCCGAAGACTGACTTAGATAAGTCACTGGGTACTTTGAATCTAGTGTCGTTATGAGGAGGGGACAAGACAAGATAATCTAAGGCCTTTCCAGATCTAACCACGAAATTTATGATCTGTTCATGACTAATCACGTTTTCTTTAGACACTGGTTCCCTCCTGCCAATAATCATCAATGACTAAGCTCTCATGTTTTAGAGGCCCTCTCTAAAAAGTGAGAAAGGCTGTTGAAAGGACCAGCTATTTCTGGACCCTTTCGATGGAGGCTATACTTCTGTGAATAATAGAATTCACATCAGAAATCAGCCCACTACCTTTGAAAGGGCAAGAGACACTATTAATTTTTTCAATCTTCCAAAGAAGTTAATACAAAGGTTGGACTCACCATGACTCTTTCCTATCCAAAGGATTTGGGGGTAACTGTTTTATTAATGAGAAAGACAAAGAGAGCTCTATTCTAACTTTCTGGCATGCTAGAATGTTCTATATCTGATTGCAGTTACATGGGTGGATACATATTTTAAAAACTCGAGTGTACATTTAAGATCGGAGCCTTTCATACATTTCACTGCATGTAATTTTTAAACTTTTTCATTAGGTACAAGACTCCTAGTCCATTCCGTTGCCCAAGGCCACTCGGGGACACCGGGATGGCCCTAAAGATGGTAAGTCAGCATTGGCTCTACAGGAAGATCTTCCTCCTAATTTTTTATCAGCTGGGGATTCAGTAGTTGCCTGGTCCACAATTTTCATAAAAGGGTTTAGTGACTTTGGTTCAAATCCATCCAGACAGTACTAGAATGGAGATAAAAAATGACTCACATTTGCTAGATCATCCCTATGACTCACATTATAAGTTGTGAGAGTCTAATATCAGTTAATGAACAGTAACTGTATATACAAAGGACTCCACAAAGTGTCTGGACAACATCTTAAGGGACAAAACTCTCTTCCAAAGTCTGGAAGGAAATGCCTAAGGTTTAGGATTTATGATGAGGCATTACCTGCTTGCAGGTACTCCGGCTGCAGAGTTGGAGGCAGGCCCTCAGGCAGTGGGTAGCCGTTCTTCCGGGCCACAATAAGATGAAACGCAGCACAGAACTCCGGCAGGCTCAGGGCTCCATCGCAGTCAGCATCGCTCAATTCCCTAAGGATAACAGATGTTATGAGCGCCTAACACGGGGCTCAGAGGGAAAGTTACTCAGCCTCAAACATGCAAACATGACTCCCAGGCTCTCTGGTGGAGGCCCTGCAGGGTCCCCAAACCCATATAAAATCTCAGGGACCCACACGGAGGAAGAAAAATCGACACCACTAGCATGAGTGGCACTTTATAAATAAAAATTGAAATTCTTCAGATTCTCCAATAGATCTGTTTTACAACAGACTACACAAGTAAAAAAAAAAAAAAAAAAAAAACTATGGGACGAAAAGGAAAAGGATGCCCACAATTCACACTTAGTTGACACTCATTCAGTAAATGAGTTGTGTGAACAGCCCCGGACTTGGTGCTCAAAACAGTCAGAGGAAGGGCTGGCCCTGCCCTTTCACTGGTGTCCTGGCCATTATTCAGTTACCCAATCTCAGATACAAGCACTTCATTTCTCAGCTTTAAGGAAAAACCTTGAACTTTTCAAGTTGCAAATGTTGTATCAAAACTTTGCTTGAGAATTCCCTCCTGGGAAAACACAAGTAAGCTCAGTAAATACTGACTGAACTATGTTTTCAGATAAAACTAGCAACTAGGGAAGGCTGGAACCAGATGAGATAGAAAGGAAGAAAGGGAGAGGCTTGAAAAGGCTTATCTTTGCTTCAGTCAGTTGTTTCCCACTGAAAAGCAGAGGCCTATCTGCCAAAGTAACTAAGACCCCATAAGCTCAACCAGCCTCTTAGGTGTACAGAGACGAGTACGCTTGTGTTAGGACAAGCAGAGCGAGAAGGCATATACAATCATAGTAGAAAGGGGGTTACTATTTGAAAGAAAAACCACGGAAGGTAAGCTCCGGAACTTTCCTTTGGACCCTTCATATCCTTGTCCCCCTTGAATATTCAGAAAGCACCAGCTCCCCAAGGTGAGGAGCCAGGGAACTGTTTCAAACACTGGGTGGAGAGAATCCCACAAAGCTGACATGGATATGTCTCAACAAAAAGATAAAAACCCTCATGCCAATAATGTTAAGACTGGGAATTCTGCCAGAACAGACTGTATTCTTTACAAAATGATAGTTTCTCTTTTTTCCTAGCTTTAAAGCCTAATCAGGCTTGCCACTTTTTTTTCTTAATGCTATAATATATTGCCGAAAAACCAAAATTCAGCTCAGGATCCCAGATACAGTGGCATTCACAAGTGTCAGTAGAATAGTTTTCCAATATGATGCACAAAACATGACAAGCAATTTTAAACTCTATTATAATTTTTTTGTAAATCCTCATGAAAAAAGGTTTTACATAAATATTCCAATACTTTAATTATATATTTATCACAGTGTGGTCTCCCACCCGGTCTTGAGGAAGAAGAGCCCACACGCAGCCGGGAGTTTACAGAGGTATGGAGCGTTTTCATAAACGCAAACAGAGCCATCTGGACCAACCAGCACAGCCCTTCTGGTGCCGGTGATGGAGCCGGCACAGCAGCAAAGCACCAGGCATGCCACATGTTCGAGTCTGAACCAGGGCCCAGCTGATAAACACCAGCCAAATTTACGAAGCTCAGAGGCAGCGAGAAGAGTCAAATTTAACTTAATTCCAAAATATTTGTGGAACTTCTGTTCACCTGGCCTCATAAAATATTATAAAGAATAGCTTTTCAAGGTTCTCTGGTCACTTACACCACATCAAGTAGAAAAATCTGAAAATAAAACACACAGGATGGAAATTCTCATATGCTCACACAATTGCTTAGACTGAAAAGGCATCTATCTAGGTGAGGATAATAATTAGGAAATTGCTTTTTAAATAAGAGCCAAAACAGTGCGTAGTATGTGCCAGACACTATTCATTGTGCTTTTCATATAACTTACTTAATCTTCAAAGCAACAGTAATCTAAGTTCTTTTCATTCTCTTAGTCTGATTTTTAAAAAATTCAAAAGATTAGATTTTTAAAATGCAAAAGTAGGAGCTAAGGGATGGCTATGGATAACAGTATGATACTATGAGGCATTAACAGTACTTACCATATATAGGAGAGCTCTGGAATGGAAAGCTTTGATTTGGTGAAGAAGTTCTTGGCCACAGAACCTGTCAAGAGCCATTGTTTAAATAAATCATGAATTACTTATCTAGAGCAGCTTTTATGTTTATATGTAAATGAATCACCATTTTTTTCATTCAGCAATTCCTACCATATAACCACAAATATAACAATTATTCATCAAAGCAACTACGAATTGTGTGGCTAAAAGCAACATACAAACGGCTTTTAAAAGAGTATGTAAATTAGAATAGGGCAAAAGAACTAACGACATAATACTTATTATGACATGAAAATTATATGAATTCCTTCTTTGTATTTCCAAAAATCTGCAAAATTTACTAAAAATTCAAAAGATAACTATCAAAATTATCAAAGTAAAACTCTGTCAAGCACTTTAAATGAACGGATGCAAAAGTAATACACGATCATGGTAGGAAACAGCAAAAAGAAGAAAAACTAACACCATTAATTTCATCATACTAGAGATAAGACAGACATCTTGAGAAAGCGTTTCAGTGAGATTTAAGATCTCTTGGTGGCTCTTCAAGAATCGTATCCAGGAACCTCTTGCTACTTTCTTTATTCATTGCAAATTTACCAATATCAATGGAAATCAGGTAATCATTTCATTTTACATGTAACGTAGCTTCAAGTCCCAATCGCACTTAAAATGTTTAGACCCAATCCTTATTGAGATTGAAATTTTTATGCTTTCTGCTCTCAAAACAGTTTCACAATTCAAAAGCCTCAAGTCTAACACAAAGAACACTCAAATCAAAGCCCTAAACTATTCTAAACTGATAAAGTCAAAAATCTTTCCTTAGCCATCACGAGACTTCTAACTGGCCTTGAAACAAAGGATTATACTGGACCCTAAGGCAGACTTATTTTCCTTTGATAGATGAAGGATCAAAGACAAAGTACCCTATAAACGAATGAGCCTTCTCCCCAAGAGCATCCTGGAAATAATGCTGACACAGGACTGTTAGCCATCCATGCAGCTTCCTTGCCTTGTCAAACATTTGTCAGAAATGTCTTGAAAGCCCATTTGCCAGCTATTTTATACATAGAAAGGCATTCTCCCCTAATTTCATTCTTCTTTTTCCCTCCTGATCTCCTTTCTTCAAAGTATAATAGGCCCAAACCCACAGCTAGAGACCTGGCCTGGCCTTCACACAGTAGAGAGAGACTGTCCGCCCACGGTGTCCCAGAGTGGTTGGGTGGCACCCACAGGGAAGATGATGGCTAACGAGGTCAGAGAAGGAGCACTTGAGCAAGCCAGGTGCTCCCTCCTTCGGTGCTGACAGAAGTTCAAACAGTGAGCTGGAACCCTCGCCCCAGCCCCACCCCCAAGCAACAGAGAAACCCCAAACACGCCTCCTTTCCTTGGTCTCTCTAGCCATTTTCAGATCCACCTGAGAGCCACATGTGGGGCAGAAGAGGTAGAAGGGAGGCTTAAAAGCTGTCAGCAGTCAAAGATCAAAACCATGAATCCAGACTTTTTCTTACAAAAGGTCTCTCAGCCCAGTAAACTACAGCTACCCACAGCATTGATCCATCAGTGACTGAATGTTAATACATCCAATATATACAGATCTTTAAAAAATAATAAAGACCAGTAAACCACTGTAAAAATGGATTGAGCTATGAGAGTTCAAAGCAATAGATGCAACTGACTCTTAATCATATTGAAAAATAAAATGTTCAACCTTGTTCGTGAAACATCTGTAAGTTAAAGCCACACAAAGACATGATTTCTTGCCTATCAGATGGGAAAAATACAAAAGTTCAATAACGTGCTTTGATAACAAGACTATGGGAAAACAGGCACCTCATACAATGCTGGTGGGGTGACAAAATGGCACAACCCCAAAGAAGGGGTGTTTTGCAAAATCACATTTGACCCGGTAATCCCACTTCCAAATTATCCAAGGATACACTAACAAAAATATAAAAAGACATATGCAGAAGGCTATTTACAAGAGAAATATTTGTAATAGCAAAGGACTAGAAGTAATCCCAATAAAGAATTGGCTGAATAAATGACTGCACATTCACACAATCTGTAAGAAGAAACAAGAAATATCTCTACATACGACTACAGAGTAATCACCAGAATATATTGTTAAGTGAAAAAAGCAAGGTGGAGGAAAGAGTAAGTAGTATGCTACCACTTATCTAAGAAAATATGGAGATAAGAACACACACACACACATATAGAGATATGCGCATACACGTATGTGCTTCTATTTTTAAAAACAGACAAATAAGCCATTAAACAAGATGTTTACCTATAGGAACAAGGAAGGAACAAGGTAGAGGAGATAGGGACAGGAACTAGACTTCTTTGAATGTAGCTTGTTTTGTAGACTCAACTTTAGGACTGTGTTAATATTTTATATAAGTAAAAAATTAAATTTTAAGAACACAATCCCTAAAAATTAAAATCAAAACAAATAAAACTGAAAAGCACAAAGATGGGGAACTCTCACTAACCAATTTCAAATACTTACTATAATAATCAAGACAGTGTGGTATTGGCATTAGGCTAGACATACAAATCAGTGAAATAGAACTGGTAAAGAAATAAACCCTTACACTCACAGTCAGTTGAATTTTGACAGGGAACCTAAAACAATTAAATGGGAGAAAGAATAGTTTTTTCAACAAATGGTGCTGGGACAACTAGATATTCACATGCAAAAGAATGAATTTGAACCCCTACCCCTTATCATATGCAAAAATTAGCTCAAATTGGACGAAAGAACTAAATATAAGAAATAAAACTGTAATATAGGGAATTCCCTGGCAGTCTACTGGTTAGGACTCTGTGCTTTCACTGCCAGGGCCCAGGTTCAATCCCTGATCTGAGAACTAAGATCCCACAAGCCACACGGCGTGGCCAATAATAATAATAATAATAAAACAAAATTAATATGACCTTGGATTAAGCAATGGTTTCTTAGATATGACACCAAAAGCACATGCAACAAAAGAAAAAATAAACTGAACAGAAAAATTAAACTTTTTTGCTTCGCAAGATACCATTAGGAAAATAAAAGGACAAGCCACAGATTGGGAAAAAAATATTTACAAATCATATGTCTGATAAGGAACCTGTGTCTAGAATACACAGAGAACTCTTTCCACTCAACAATTTTTGTTGGCATTTCTCCAAAGAAGATATACAAATGGACAGTAAGAGCATGAAAAGATGCTCAATGTCATTCTTCATCCAGAGAGAGATACCACTTCACATCCACTAGGACGGCTACAATCAAGAGATAAAAACAAGTGTTGGCAAGGATGTGGAGTAAGACACTACTGGTGGCAATGTAAAATGGTGCAGCCACTTTGGAAAACCGTCTGACTAGTCCTCAAATGGTTAAATACAGAGTTATCCTATGATCCAGCAATTCCACTCCTAGGTATATATCCAAGAAAAATAAAAACATATATCTACACAAAAACTTGTACACAAACGTTCAGAGCAGCATTATTCTTAACAGCCAAAACAACCCAAAAGTCAATCAACTGATGAACAGATAAATAAAATGTGGTCTATCCATACAATGGAATGATATTCATCCATAAAAAAGAACGAAGCTCTGGTAAATACCACAACATGCATGAACCTTAAAAACATTATGCTAAGTGAAAGAGGTCAGACACCAAAAAACACTTATGCAATTTCATTTATATGAACAGCCCAGAACAGGCAACTCTATATAGAGAGAAAGTAGTTTAATGGTAACCTAGG